TAGCTATTCCTTTATTGGATGCCCATCTCAGTAAGTATTAATTTCTAGTGTTACTTTAAAGAGAAAAAACATAAAGTCACCACTGAAGTTGTCCCGAATTTTCAAAAAGAAATCTTAACTTTGTGGGTGTCCTATTATCCCATTGAACAACTTCACAATAGTATGTATATCCCATTTTTCACCAAATACCACTTATACAAAAATATTTATAAGTCACGCACTAATAGTCACTTGACACGTGTTAAAAGTAATTTTTAATTATTTTTATTTGATTTCTTTGCTTTTCTTTTTCTTTTTCTCTTTCTTCTTCGCCTCAACCTCTTCTTCTGTCATTCCTTTCATGGCGATGAACAGTCGCCAAACCCGTTGTGGCGGGACGGAATTTTTTGGCAGCATTACTAATTATTTGTCAAACTGTCACAAATTAATTTATTTATGAAAATAAATATCGTCAAATAATCAAAATTTAAATACTCAAATATCACTAAGTCAAAATCTGACATTTAAATCACCTCCTTCTCCAACTTCTTACTCTCAAATAGAGTTTTCCATAGTTTCACTAGTCCCAAATCCCAAACTTGATTTGTAGGAGGAATAAAATCACTAAAATAATTTGTTATTCAAAAAAATAAAAATAAGAATGAACACAATAACATTAGTTTTAAAAAAACAATGACCAGAGAGGAAAAAGATCACAAGATTTTTTTTTGAAGGAAGACATAGATGTCCAAGAAATATGGGTAAGCTAATGATGATAGAGAAGATGAGAAAAAAGATTTTAAAATTGAAAACTATTCCTAATAAAGCTTAAAAAAATTAATACATGGGTTTTTACATTTTTTTCAAAATATGTCAAATTGGGAGTGCCACATTGCAATTTTACGTTGATCCGAAGCTGTATGAACAGTCCTTTACGCGCCCATATTTTGTGACAACACGAGTGGTGTTAAAATTAGTCAAAAGGGTATATTTATTGTGGATTTAGATGGTTTCGTAGGGTAATATGACACCCACAAAATTAAAGTGTCTTTTTGAAAATTCGAAACAACTTTAGAAGTGACTTTATGGTTTTTCTCTACTTTAAAAGTTATACTCTTTGTTTAAGAAAGAATGACCTACTTTTAAAAAAAAATTATTTTAAAATGAATATCTCATTTTCTTTTTTGAAAACACTTTAATTTTAACTTTTCACCTGACATGTTTAAGACCAAACAAGTTTAAAAGACATTTTGATACATTTGACATAACTTTAATTTAGGGTTACAAGATTGAAAAAAAATCTTTATTTTCTTAAACTCCGTATTAAGTTAAAGTAGGTCATTTTTCTTTTATACAGAGGGAGTAGTTTACTTTATTTGTTAAACTTTGATTAATAATTTTGCTTAATTAGTCTCACAGTGAAAAGTTGAATGACAAAAGCGTACCCTAATCATTACGTTAATAAATTTTGCACATTCAATATGATTTTCGTTGTTTTAAATAAGTTACATATATATATTTTATGTGGAGGTTATCATTGGTTTTGTGGTTATTTGATAACTTCGCCTTTAAGATATAAATTTAAAATATAAAATGTGTTGCTGGTTTTGAATTATTTTCAGAGAATTCCAATTATTAACACGACAAGAAATGTCAAAGTTTTGAATGAGTAAACGAAACGTATTACAACTTTAATTTATAAGTTACTAAATTGACATACCACAAAGAAATTTAATACTATAGGGTGTCCACTTGCCTTTATAAAAATTTTTTAAAAAATTAACCATGGGGTCAATGATTAAAACCCTTTTGACATGATTGAAATATGTTGTTGAGTTTATCCAATTTAATTAATTCTGTCATTCTCTTTATAATAAATCGTAGTGTTTAAGGAACATTATTAGACAAGTGTCCACGTAAAGAAATTAAATCACATAATCAATCGAAATTTCTGACTTTATATTTGTTATTTGGCACTTTTTATGATAAATAGAATGTGATAAGTATTTTGAGATAAAAAAAAATCTTTGAGGTTTACACGTGGATCCTTCGAAAGATGAAAAATGTTAAAGCTTGTCTTTCTTCTATCTTTTCAAAATTCCGGCCACATAAACTTCTGTTTTTTCTTCCTTTCTGGAACACTTTTTCCAAATTCAACCAAAAACTAAAAATACTTTCGTCAATTCAACTATTAATCTTTTGACTTATCACAATTGATGATGTCATTATGAACAAATTTACTGTGGAATATATAAAATGATGATTGAAGAGTAGGTGCATTAACGTGTCAAATGCACAAATTGATCAATATAACAATCGCAAAAATGATTTCCTATACTCACTTAAATTTAAAGTGAATATATTTTATAAAGAAAAACATAAAATTGAAAAAATATATATTTATAAAGAATCACCAAAATCAATTAACTCTATAACTGCCAACTAAGAACATAACAATCGCCAACGTACCACTAGTTAAATACTCAAATTAATTAAAAGAATAAGTCAATTTTGTGACAATCAATTATTATTTGGGCATACGACCAACAACACAAATTCAAGTACACTTAAAGTTGGACTGGTGGAAATTAGTCCAGGTGATTTATGAAACTTATTAATTACATAATTAAGGAATAATTCTAAAGATCATACAAGTTTAAGTTCAAACTTTTAATTAATGATTAAAAAATAAAGAACTTTTACAATCAACATACCATATCTTACCTACAATATTTAGTAATTTAGCTAGAACTGGCAAAAGATCATGGAGATCATAATCCAATTAATTAATTGCGACTTGTTTTATCTTTACCATAAGAATCATAACGATTAGAATGTTTTCATTATATTACTCATATAACTGATACTAATTTTGTGAGACTTTTTTTTACCTCATAAAAAAATAACCCAAGTTTTCGTTAAAATAGAAGTGTCACTAAAGCTTGATTAGACAATCTTAATTGTTCAATCCAAATGTATTGATAGATTTACCTTGGTAATTAGAAGGGGTACCAATTTTATGACCTACAAATACTTTTTAAGTCATACAATTTTTCTTTTTGGCTATCGATAAATTAAAATATAACTTAAGAAATCCTAGTAACGTTAAATTATTTTATTTTATTCAAAATATAATCAATCATAACATAATTTATTTTTTAGGAAGCATATCATCATCATTTTTTTTCAATTTTTTAAAGAGGAACAATTTTGGAGACCTTCTTTTATGTTTAGCTACATAAACAAATCTCCCTTGTAATTTGTTATATATATGCGCTTACTTTCTTTATTTTATTTTGTTTTGTTTTATTTGTAACAGTTACTTTAATTTATTTATCACTAATGCAAAATGGAACCAAATTAAAGTTGTTTTTTCACTAATTAAAGCAACGGTATTGAAGGGAAATATAGTGAAATGACATGTTAAGCATGTAATAAAAGATTTTACAAGCAAGTTTAATATTTGACAAGTGTCTCTCAATATTAATTATTGATCTACTTTCACCATTAACACTTAAAGTTGAGGTTTTTAATTAATGACAAAAAGTTAGAACTTTAACGAACAATATATCTTGCCCACAACATTTAGCCAGAGCTGACAGAAGATCATATCCACGAGAGATCACAATTCATTTAATTATTAGTAATTCATCATTAAGTTAAAGTGTCATTGTAAAGCCTGATTATACAGTATTCACTCTGATTTAATTTGTTTATCGAATTTTAATTTGATATGAAATTTGAAGAAGTAAAAAAGAAGTTTTGAATATTATAGTTTTAAACTAAAAAATATATAAAATAAATCAAATGTCATTTAATTTTGTGATTTTGAACATGTTATGTCAGTAGAAAGAGAAATTATTTTTTAAAGTATAAAAAAGATAAGACAAACAAATTAAAACAATGGAAAAAATTGTTATTCAACCCAAATATATTGATAGATATTTACCTTAGTAAACACGAGAATATTAATTTTATGATTCATTATGAATTAAATAAAGAGAACATTTGTTACTCAACCCAAATATATTGATAGATAGTTACCTTAGTAAACACGAGAATATCAATTTTATGATTCATTACAATATTCTTTTCTTTTAGTTATGTAATTATTCTCATAGGATTAATCGTTAAATATTATTTAAGAAATCTTTGCAAAATTTATTATTCAAATTGCAATAAGTCATAAAAAATATATATCACACTTTCTTTCGATTTATATTTTATTTTTTGGTCTAAAAAGAAGCAATTACCACAATTGAAATCAACATATATACCTTTAGATGTGTTTGTCAAAGAAAGTTTCCAGGTAAACACCCACCTTAAAAAGCAAGAAGTTACATAAACAAAATAAAGTAAAAAATAAATAAAGTGGAATTATTAGTTTAACATGTTTATAGGAGATTTGCTTTTGTAGTTAGTGGAATCACATCGGTAAATTCCGCTCCATATTGTCTCCGTTGGGGACATTAATTCCCGTTGACATAATACCATAATCGGAGGTTTCGAATTCAAATTTTATGTATGGAGAAAAATTTGTTGATAACATCATTTTACATGAATTCTATAGTGTGTGATTTGAGACACTGTGTGAAAATCAAAAATAAAATAATACCTTAACATTCTTCTTAAGTTACAATTCAGTTTTTGCCTCAGAAATAATGAACTACTCTATTAGAATTGTGTTATCCACGATAATATTTACATCAAGTTAATAAATCACATGACATAGTGCGTTTATACATAGTTATTTCAATAATTAATGTTATGTAAACACCGACAGATAAAAAAAACAGTACGAAGTCATGAAACAAAGTAAAGAAAGATCGAGCTATAGAAAATTATTGTATTCAAACTTTCAGGACTTTAAAACATCTGAACATTTATATTTCATTGCATTGCAATTTTTTTTTAAAATGGCAAAATTTCATCACAACTATATACTAAAGTAGGACTACATTTTATTTTTTGTTTGAATAATCCCAAAATGCCCCAAAAGGGAAAAAAACAAAACCAAAAACTCCCATGAAAGAAGAAATTTTATACATGCAATAAAAGCATATACACTCTTCATAGCTCCCAATCTTCTTCACACACTTTACAACACTGAAACTTCCAGCTGATAGTTCCTGCGTCGTTGTTTGTTATTGCATTGGCCACCATCTCCGCCACATGCATGAAATTCTCAATAGAAATAAATATATATATTTATATACTAGCAACAAGAGATCTGAGAGAGTTCGGGCTTAAGCACCACCAGGGGAAGATTGCCTCATCAAATCCCTGTAGAATTTCGAAATAAATTTCTCAGCAGCTTCATCAACTTGACTATCTTCTTCAACATCTTTCAGCGGAAACGGAGAATCGGTAATCCTCAACTGCCTCACCGTCGGAGTCCTTCCAAATCCGGGCAGATTATTCGCCGGCGATGCATTAGCACTCTGAATCATTTCCAAAGCCTTCATCACAGCAGCATTCATCACAACAACATCGTCGTCTGCGGTGGCCGGAGCGTGTGCACACGGAAAGAGATGAGCGTGGTGCTTACCGCGCTTGTTGAAGTTGAACGGAAGGTGAAAAGCTGGGTACGCTGGGCTGTTACTGCAACTGAACTCGTACTCGCTGGATGGAGCGCGTGCACACACGGATTCGGGAGTTGAAGAAGAAGCTGATGATGAAGACGATGAAGAAAATTGGTGCGCGTGGTGAAACATGAGATTATGAAATGCGGCTTTGCTAGCGATTTTTCCACGCTTCATGAGTAAGTTGAAATCGAGCATGAATTTTTTCTTTGAGATTCCTTTTCTCAGCATGAAGAAAGCTATTCGCACTATATTCCAGAATTTCTTTGCTATAACTGGCAAATTTTGCTCCATTTTTTTTCTTCTCAACTAAATTCTTATAGATTCGAGAATTGTTTGATTTGGTTTCTGATTGAGAAAGATGGAATTTGTAATTAGATTTGAAAGAGAGGAGAGATTATATGAGAGAAGAAATGTTTTTTTATTTCTTGGAATGAAAAAAGTGTGAACCTATGAAGGGGTATTTATAGTGCTTCCCTAGAGGAACACGACCCACTGAAGTACTTGAATTTCTCTTACTCCTTTTTATTTATTTATAGTTATCTCATATTATTTTATAATTATTTTCTTCGTTCACTTTTTACTTTACTTGTTATTTTGATATATAAAAAATAAAAAAATAAAAAATTTCGTATTTCACCACAACATTAAATAATTGTTTTTTAAATCATTTTTCAAGACATCGTAATAGATGATAGTTTGATAAAAATATCTATATCAATAATTATTTATAATGCGTGTGTCAAATCAAACTGTAACAAGTAAAAAGTGAGAGGAGGGAGTACAAAATTAAGATAAATACAATCATGTTTTTATCATTTTAACCTTGTAATTCATTTTTTTTAAACCTCGACAAATTTGTAAAAACAATTAAAAATTTACTCCAATTTAAATAGTACATTTCGAATTTCAAGATTTAAATAAATTTATATTATTTAAATATTTTAAACGGTCTATATAGTATTTTTATTTTTTTTTACGTAATTTACAAACACAACCCATGACACATTGAGGCGATATGAGACGAGAGAGTACTAATTTTGTGACAGGAATTCTATGTGCTTTATTGTTAAGTTAAAGTGACACATTGAGGCGGTCTACAATATAAAATTCAATAAGTATTTAATTAGCTCAATTATTAGTATTGGAAGTGGTGGTTGGTCATGGACTTGTTTAAGAAGAGTTTTAAGTCGTTAAGTATGTTAATTAATAATTAAGTTTCTCTATTCCTCCAATTATAATTGTCACACTTTCTATACCTTTGAATAGAAAAATGTTAACTTTCCTTCTTAATTTAACCGACTTATTTTGTTTATAACAAGATTTTCAAAGTAGTAATTGTACTAGTATTGTAATAAGGTGAAATTGGAAAATGGTTGATTTCTTTTTGAACATATTAATTTTGGTATGGGGAAATATCATTAAAATTTAAAAACTATGAAGCTATTAAAAAAAATATATGATAACTTTTTATTACTATCTAATCAAAAGGGAAATAGAGGAGCGTCGAGTTAAGAGGGCATTTTCGGGTTTTAGCCGAGAGGGACTTGGGTTTGGCGTAGCCTATACTTTGATGTAGCCTCCCATACATGATATAACTTAATAGTGTGTTGACCAATTTGCCCTTTAGCCTAGCTTTTTTGTAGGTTACTTAAGGGGGGTCTCATATTTTCTTTTCAAAGTTACAATTTACCCATACTTTCTTCATGTGTTTATATTTATATATATATATATATATATATATATATATATATATTTATAATAGAGCAGCTTAAAGCTAGTTGGTCAATTAACTTATTTACCCTTATGGTTCAATTTCCTTCTATTTATATTTAGTGTTTTTTATTTCCCTTATTTTTTAATATGTGATGTATCTGAAAATTATGAAGAGCGTGATACTATAAAATATAAATCACAATAATAAATAACTTTAAATATTTATAAAAATACATATTAAATTTTTGGTTGACTCTCAATATTTCACCTATGTCACATAAAGTGAGACAAAAAAAGTAACATATATCATGTTAAAGTACTATAAATTATAATACTTAACAACTTAAAATGTTTATAACACATTACAAATTTGATTGACTTTCAAAATTTCACGTGTCAAAGGCTTATGCCCTTGAGTACTTTACATAATATGAAATGAGGGAACTCTTAATGTGAAGGTAGACTCAGATCTTCTTATTCAAGTAGTTAACATTTTCCTTCGGTAAGCATTTCCTAGGCGAAGAACTAATTTGCGCATCCAACGATAAGATAAATGGTCTTACTTTTCTTTTGTAATCTGCCAATTGTAATAGATGAAAAAGTTGTGCATAAATTGGAGTGACATAAATTACTATACATCACAATTAATGATCAACAAGTTGAAATATTCAAATAAAACTTGGTTGAATAATCTAATTCTAACCATGCCATATATATTGAGACAAATAACATAATATATATTAGGCTCGTGCTTACCTGAATTTTTGTCATTTGATTCATAAATGTTTATCAAAATACATTTTTATCCTAATAAATATATTAGTATTTCTGGAAGACCAATATATAATCAATAGTTATTTTATAACGTGCTTCCATTTTTTTTGGATTACAAATCTGGTTTTATTAATTATCATCACGTACTATATCTCAAGTGATGATAATTTATTTATTAATAGGTTGATAATAAAGATAAACCTAATGTTAATTAAATTACCCGTACAGTTGGTACAAGTTGGATATTTTCCGTATGATATTTATTTAAAATATACAAGTACACATTAAAAAGGTATCTCAAATGATTTTTTTGAAGTAGAGAAAAAGAGAATTAAAGAATTTAAATAAACTTGTCTTTTGTCATTGTCGTCTAGTTTCCAAAACCCTAAAAAATTGTTAGTATAATGATAAAAACTTTGAGCCGTTTGAGAAAAAAAAGAAGAAGATTTCTTAGGAAGAGAGGTTTTCCCAAAACACGTGGACTTTCCTGTCAGGGAAAGGAAAGAACCTCTTTCCTAATTTACTTAACCCAAGAAACCCCTCTTCTTTTTTTTGGCCCAAATTATCTTTTTGTGAAGGAAATAATGATGATGATTTCTAAAAGCCCAAATTATGCGGAATAGTAAATATTTAGCCTTTATTAGATATTATAGTTATAATTAAAAAAAATGTAATTCACGATTATAGTTTTTCAATTTTTGCTATTCGTCTAATTTGTATAAATTATGAATTTGTATAATTCAATTTTTGATTGAATAAATTTAGAATTTTATATATGTTTGCCCTAAATATTTGTATAACAATTTATGAAAAATCATAATAAATTACTCTGTTGGTATATTGACAAGCGAAGTTCTAAAAAATTCTTAAATGTATAAATACATAATTTATATATACTTACCATATTTGTATATTCGCAGGCGAAAAATACAAACGAGGTGAAATATACAAACAACAGCTTCTATAGCAAACAAAATTATAGCTATAGGGTGTAATTATCGAAACTCTAGCTATAGAGCCTTATTATGTCTAATTATCTTATATTTGCTATTTCTAAAGTTTTCTCTTTCTTAAATTATGTTTAATTCTTTAATATTTTTGTTCTTTTTTTGTTTCATTTTATTAGTTTTGGCCCGTTTAGATTAAATATGAAAATTTCAATGTTTATACTAAAATTACAAATTAAATTCAATATAAATAATCTCAATTGAATGATTTTTTTAAAGTTCGGTTTTAGATAAATGATTTGAAAATTTCAATGTTTACACTAAAATTACAACTTAAATTCAATATAAATAATCTCAATTGGATAATTTTTTTAAAGTTCGATTTTAGATAAATGATTTTGACTTTTGAGCTGTTAAAGACAAGTCTTAACAATTTTAATGCACCTAATAATTTGCTCTTTAAATTATATATAACTTTCTAAAATTAATAAGAATTGATGTCATTTTATCGTCTATGCCGTATTGCCGTATATTAAGTTTTACACTAATAGAACATTTTTCATTTTTATTTAGATTCATCATAAAAAAAAGAATACATGATATTAGAGATTGACAATTAAAATATTTTGTTAATCAATGAAACTATATGTTGTAGCACAAAATTCATCACGAGGAACTCATGTAGTTAATTAGGCAAATATTACATCGTCAGCTAAGTGTGATGTTTCGTTCAGGACTAACACCTTGTTTGGATGATTGTATTGTATTGTATTATATCGTATTGTATTGTTTGAATTCATAGTTAAATAACGACGAAAATACTTACTTTATATAAATTTGGTGTGATCGCGTCATTACCTTACTTTAACATTTTCTTCTCAGATTGTCTTTGTTTATTATTCCCTAGAATCATTTTCAAGACTCAGAACTAAACACTAATTAACAGGAATAATATGATAAAATAATCTTATCGATCATTATTTTCTTAACGGGTGTGTCAAATGTCACGAAGGGAGTAATATTTAAGCTCTTCTTGCATTCACCTCCACATGAATAGAAGGAAACCAAATGATCATAGATATTTTTCAACTTTGGACATATATCAACCATGAGAAATTCTAAGTGTATGTATACTTAAACATCGATATTTAAGTTCAGCCACAACCAAAGTCTACCACATTTTGCTTTAACCAAAAAAAAAAAAGTAGAGGTAGAGGTTTAAATACATGTTAGTTTCAATTTTCACCAGTATTAATTGATAGGATATAAGTACGTATATGTATAACATGATAACTACAGTATCACGAGAATATTAGGGTGACATTGATAGTTCAATAATATTGTATACGTACTATTTCTAGTGGAAGAAAAAAATGTAGGTAAAAAATAATACTAACTTGTATTGAATGGTCGAAATAAGCAAACTTGTGATCATGTCAACCAAGTCGATCTTCTTCTTCTTCTAGTGGCTAATGATAGACTCCATAACTATTTTGTTTATACAGACGAAGATATACTTTCTGAGTTGATTTTTATTCTCGTATGGTCATTCAATTGATAGTTATTATATCAAAAAGTCATTTTTTTTTATTTTGAAGAAAATTAGAATTAAGAAGTATGGAACTTACAAATTATTGAATACATGTACTTAAAATCACAAGGAAATAAATTTGAGAGGGGGTCTCCTATATTATTGACACTCTTGGCTTCTTCGTAAATTTACTTCTTTTATAATTTGACTATCCTAAGTAAAAAAATTATTTCTGTCCCTGTATATGGAACATACACTTACAAACCATAGAATAAAGGTTATAATTTTCATATTTTTTTAAATAATGAAGTCGTAAAATTCATTTTTACTTGTTATGTAAAAACGAGATAATAAAATAGAGTATCGAGTAAACATGATGTAAATCATGAATATTTATGGATTTAAAACTTTTAATCCACATCGGAATGAGGACAAGTATTAATTTGCCATTTCTTTTTTAGTTTGTAATGTATGTACCGTACGTACGTCTAGTTGATCGACAACATATCTAGCATGTATAGTTGATCAAAATAATAAAAATTCAGCCTACATCCATGTATGAAAATTTAAATTCAGAGAAAAATCTAGCACATTCAAGACTATCGATACAAAAATAGAAATAAAAAGTGACATGTAAGTTCCCATGGTCCACAACTTTGTAACTTTTCAGCTCCCAACTTGAAAAGTGAAAACAACAACAATAGCCAACTACTATAAATACCTACCTATTATCTTCATCATTTTACATCCTTAGCCAACATTATAAATCTCAATAACAACATATATATTTTTTGACAATATTCATAATTCAAAATGGCACCTCATGGAGAGACAATTGTTCGAAATCTTAGCAAACCACCTCAACTCTCCAACGACAGCCTAAAAAGGACAATGTCTGAAATTACATACGAGTGGATGAAGAATGATGCAATAATCGATGAAAATCTCCCTCCAGTCTCCGAGGTAGAAAGCGCGAAATGTGAGTGTTGTGGTATGAGCGATGACTACACATCCGAATACATCGATCAAATTCGAAAAAGATATTCAGGTAAGTGGATATGTGGGCTTTGTGCTGATGCAGTAAAAGAAGAGGCCCAAAAAAATGGAGGACAAAATGAAGAAGCATTAACTACTCATATGAGTGCTTGTAGCAAATTTAACAAATTTGGTAGGGCTTATCCAGTACTTAATCAAGCTGAGGCTATGAGACAAATGTTGAAGAAAAATACAAAGGGAATTATGAGGGCAAAATCAATTAGTCCAAGGGAAAGAATTATGCAAAAGAAGAGTGGTGGAATTGCTAGAACTAATAGTTGCATCCCTGCCATTACTAAAGAAATGAGTGACCTTAATATAGTAACCTGATCGATAAAACGTGCTTCCTTGAGTTGTACCTTCTGCAATAACGTATGTACTATAATCGTCTTAATTTTCTGTTTATGGCTAAACTTTGGTGTAACTCCTTTTACCCTTGCAAGGATTTCTTACTTTATAAATCATGTATATGATTCAACCTACTTGATCAATATATGTTTAGTAGCTTTATAATGTTATTAAATCTTGTTTAATGTACTGTTATTGATCTCAAACCTTATTTTAAAGTGTTAGATATTTTTCAAAGAAAAATAAGAATTTGCTAATATACTACATGAGAGTAGTTAGAGACCCTGTCTAAGTGAAATAACCATCCCTCTGCTACTGAGAAGGATGTTCACTTCTTCAAATATCCTTATCCTATATAAGTAGGCGCGAACAGGACAGGGGTCAGATTTGTCCAATGGGAGCAAGAGTAACAATATATGATAATTTAAAGCAGGCAGCATAAGCTTTCAAAAGACATAGCATAAAGTTGCATATGTTTTAACAATAAACAAGTTTTCAACAAACACAACTAGTTCAAAAAGGAGAATATTTAAGGGTTCTTAGGTGTATAGTTTACTGATGATCCCTTTAAAACAGATCTAAAGAAATGTAACAACTTAGACAAATGACCAGTTGACAAACATGAAACAGATACAATGAGCAGTATCTTCTTCGTTCATAACTTTCCATGCCACTGCTCTCTCATAAGAAATAGGTCTGCTCATGCTTGACAAGCAAATTCCCCCTTGTAGACATGCAAAACCCTGTCAATCAATAAATAACAATTAGAAACTGCAGCAGTCGTGTCTTCAAGCAAATCTAAAAGGGGCATGCAACTCGATTCGGGAAATCATTACTTGCTACATACAATACTACTTTCCATATAAAAGGAGTGAGTACCAACCTGTTGCATTATCTGTGGGAACTCAGTGCAGAGGTTCTTCTTTCCATGATCATCAAATATTTTCTCCAAGGTAATATCTTGAAGTGCAACCAAGGTTGTCTCGAGCATGTCAAGACCAGCCTGATTTGCAAATGTGAAAACTGGCAAAGCCTGCAGAAATATTGAACTCAAAATTTCATCTACTCGAACAAACTAAAAGGTAAGAGTGCTGCAATTAGAGTGGTGCTTTGAACAAGCAAAAGAATATTAAAAGAGGATTTGGGAACAAACCTTAGCAGAGCAGCAGATAATAGCATCTGAGTGATGCCATAGGCTTTTGAGGATTGATTCACTTCCTTGATCAGTATTTGATTTCAGAAGCTCCACGCCCAAAAAGCACCTTAAGAGAACAAAAAAATTAACCACAACAGAGACTGGTGTTAAACTCAGAACATAATTACATGCACATAAACACCCATTGATTTCCCTCCTAGTAACGTCCCATATAAAAAGAGGATTGAGCTATTTCTAGAGTGTTAATCATTTCTTTTGATGAACCAATTTCTGGAAAATTACACTCGTGTTAATCTAAACATTATACATTTAGATCAACTTATGTAGCCAATATGTATTTCATTTAGAACTTGGTATTGGAAAAGCGCAACAGTTGACTGGATGAAAAACTGAAAATAATTACTTAGTGTGCTCCTATGTTAGGCCCACACGCAAGTATATACCACATACCTGTAACTTTGGCAGATCCAACGAGCTAATGTATGTGCTTCAGGAGTCCCCAATGGCAAACGAAGACCTCCATGAGAACCCAAGTGAGATGGTGAAAGTGCTAAGGCAACTCTTTGAACAGATGAAATAATGCTTCGGACATACTGTCGAGCCATTGAAGCAACACTCTCTTGCATGTGGCTTTCAAAAGCAAATTGAAAAGCAATTGTCATGACAGATCTTGATGAGCCACCACTAGTGTGAAGGTCATTGGCCGCTTTGTTTTCCGCTGGGCCAGTCTCAAGAGCAGAAGTAAGATCAAGGGTACGATTTGGACTGGACGCTTCCTGCACAAACGAAGCGTATTGGTAAAAACATTGAGGATAACAAACCAAATGAACAAATACCTAAAAGAATAAGCACTAATAGGTGTATACGAAACCCTAACCTTTCCAGATTCAAGTGAAATAATGCGAAATCCAGACGGAAGCAATGGTGCATCATCAGCAAAAGAGGCATCAATAGGAGCAAACACGAGTTCGGCGCAAGTTCCAACAGCATTTTCATCCATTCCACTGCATAGCTGCATAATTTTCCTCAGATTAGAAATTCTTTCAATTCAAAGAAAGATATTCTAAAAATCCACAAGTGAGGGGTTGCAAGACATTGAGAATGGCCAAGGTGACAAGAGGGTGTTGCTCCGATGGTAAGCACCCTCGCTTCCAAGCTTAAGGTTGGAGTCACCAAGGGAGCAAAAAGGTAAGAGCTTCTGGGGGAGGGGTAAAAAAGAGAGAATGGCCAAGCTGAAAATATGGACAGCAAGAGCACTCAACTTACACATGTGCAGAAATAAAACTTACTTGCAATAGAAACATATCTCGTGGCATTATCGCATCCTCAGGAGAATGACCTTCCAACTTAATGACCTCCAGCAACTATAAGCAAAAAAGAGCACATTATCAGCAAATAGGATGAGAAACCACAAAAAAATTATTCAAACAAGGCAAACTGGAACAGTTCAAATAAACTAGGAATGCCAACAGTGCAGATAAAATAGAACTACTAAGCTTGCCTCTTCATGCTCAACAGTGTGAGCGAGTGGAAGTATCACTTGACCCCCGAAGTTACCAACTCGAGCCCCAGGTAAGCTGCAAGGACCAACTTTAATGGCTGCAGCAGCATAAGCATCTATATTGTTGTCTGCCCATTCAGATCGATGTTCACGAAGGAACCTGAGAAGTATAGCAGGAGGCACATTCTGGACAATAAAAACAAGACAACTGTGTTAAAAAGAAAAAAGCAACATGGTCAGCAGCCAACCCTCCTCATACCCAATCGCGTCTATCCAATTATAACACAAACAGGAAACATTTACTTATCCACTTAAACAAGTAAATCAGCAATTCAATTTTATAGTTTCAGCATCAACATATTGAATAAGCAGACCTGTAGAAGCATTGATGCTTTTGCACACATAACCGCATTGCTCATCGGTGAAAATCCATTTGCAAAAGGAAGGTTTAAGCCCATCAACTTGTCAGGAGAAGAGTTCACAAGGATGGTAACATCATCCATTCCATCGCTATCGAGCATTGACCAGCCCTCATCAGCTATACCATTAAGAGCCTCATTGAAGCCTCTGCCAAAATAATTCATAGTTTAAATGACAGAAAGAGTAGAGAACATTGAAAGAGAATCCATCAAAAAGTAGGTCATTCAAACCTGCTCAGCCTCTGGCTTAATGCACGTAGAGCTGCGGGTCGTCTTCCCCAGTTAGTAACATTAGTCTGTGAAACCTCCTGTGCAATCTGCCTGAGGTAGCGTAGTGCCTGCAAGGAGGATGTATAGAGTCACCAGAATGCCAATAGTATTCTCTAACCTTGCACATGGTATTGAATCAATTTGAGTAAAAGTTCTTACAGCCACTGTCGTCTTCTGAGCTAGCACTGCTGATGACTCATAAAGTGGGCGTAAGACTTCAGGCACACTCCATGCCTAACAATAATAATAGTGTCAACCATACCACTGCATAACTAGGCACAATGAAGGAGAACAGGAAATATGGACAATAACTTTACCTCTAAATTCATATGATCAACAATGTGGATAATTGAACCACCCCCCTCACAAGGTCTAATCAGGTATCCACTAGGTAGGATTTCTGCTCTCACAAAATTCTGAACAGGTGGCATACTTGGACCATTCTGAGTATTTCCAAGTGACCTTTCACACACCTGGGTATTTTATAAAATATGACATGTTAGTTCATGAAGCATGTGAATGCACAAACCAAAAATATGTGAAGTTGCAATTAGCGAAAATACGCCATTTGGCTTAAAGAGTAGTTATTCTCAAGCATCCTGTTATATACAAAAGCCACTAATTTATACCAGGAAAGATTGCTATTTATGCTGGCACAATCAAGTGACACTTGACCAACATTAGAAGAAGAAATTTACATTTTGTGTAGGACTTGGCAGAATATTGAAAATAGAAAAAATAAAAAAAGGACTTGGCAGAATATAATTTTTATATTAGAAAAAAGACTAGACATAATGAAACCATACCACGAGACTGCCATCATCCATAACAGTTGTATACCGTAAGAGCCAGAAATCACGGGCAGGTGCCAATGTTGTTGGTGCATAAAGCTAAAAGAAAAAATGTTTAAAGTTCATCAAGAAGGTATAAAAGGACTGAATGCACAAGCACGAGAAGCAACAGTACAGTAACCTACCTGCATGTAAAGGAGTTCAATGGTTCCACCATTGGCAGTAGGCAGCACATTGAGAACTTCAACAGCCCGGCAGTCACGATACCAAGAAGGTCGATCCTTAAGGATTTCGGAGACCTAGAGAGATCTCAGACAATTAATTTCATATTACAGTGCCAGAAATATAAATTTCAAAACAGATAATTAGCTTACCCTCGTTGGCTCTAGACCAACCAGGCCACAAGCTCTTGCTGCCACGCCAGTGCAACCATGAGAAATAGCAATGATTCCAATGGAATCCGGACCAGGCTATGCATTTCAAGAGAGAGATGATTAGAAAGAGTTAAACCAGTACTGAGTATCTGTAACAGAAATAATATAGCTACAGAAAAAGGAGACTGGAAAATGTGTAGTGATATATAAATGCCCTCATGGTAAGTGGAGTACTGTACCACCATTTGCCATCACAACTCACAAGCAAAAGCCTGAATGATGACAACTTTTATCATAATTATGAGCCTGAGAAAGAACACTGATGCACTACCTAGAAATCCCAAAACTGTTGTAATGCAATTTTGCAATATTTTATACAATAATTATAACTGACAACTTCAAAAGAGGCCAACGGCCCATATATTTTCTTCCGTGGACCTACCAAATCGGGCTATAAGATAAGATACAGTTTTATACTAATTGATGGACTAGTAAGAAGAGCTTCCATGGGAACTAAAAAAAAATATTGTATTTATATCTTTGATTGATATGTTGAACAAAGGAATTGTCTGCTGTTTGGTAATTTATTGACATCATTTATGAAGAAAGGTGAAGCAGCCAATTTCATGCATTTGGCTCTAACACTCGGTAGTTTGCTAATACGGCTACATAGTACAGACATGAATGCATTTGCTAGTTTAACCCTTTAATTACATATGAGTTCATTAGATTGATATTTAACTAAGAGAAGAATTCCAAGACATAATTTAATAATGAACATTTGTCATTGCATATCTGATTAATTGTGCTAAAAGCTAAATCAATCAATTAATAAACTTACCCCTATTCCAAAGGAATTTCTGTCAACCTTATGAATCTCTGCTATACACATTCCAGACATTTGGACTCATATTGGTCAAATATGGAATAAATTGTCTTTTTGTACAAATCTGGTCGTCTTATCTTTAATATTAGAGTTTCTTTACACAGCATAATATTAATGTATGCTTGGTTTTAAATTGCACAAGGATTTGTTGCAATAATACCCTTGGCCTATTTACAATACTTTCTCCAATTTAAAAAAGAGTTCTATAATACTACCTCTGAGATAGTTTTCTGTGACACTATTTTCTAATTAGTCCATTCTAAAAAATGACACATTTATTTGGAAACATCTAACTATAAACTTCATATTTTACCCTCAAAGAGAAATCTTTTTTAGTAACACGACAGTAATGCCATGATGAATACCACAAGTTCCAAAAATGTTACAGTCACAGAAAATGTTATGGCATGTTTAAAGAAAACAAATTTCGAAAGTTCCTCGTTTTTAACTTAAACTGCGTCACTACTCAAACTATGTCACATAAATTGAAACGGAAGAAGTAATTAATTTATTTTTTACAGTAAAAAGGCATTACTTTAAATTAAAAATACCTTCATTCCAGGCATTTGGACCCACTCAACAGCAGTTCCAGTAGCCTTTGAAAGAAACTCTGTTAAAGTTTCTTCTGCAATGGACAAAAGTCTGGAACAAAGCACAAATACATAGCCATAAGCCACAAACACAAAAAACAAGAGAAATGGTTACAAAGCACTATGTTTAAAGAAGAAAAGGACCCAACAACTGCAATCCCACTCACTCACCCTGCAGGACTAGCATCCCTCGGGGGATGCTGAGATGTCAAGTGGTGCTGACCACTAGTCACCACTGAATCACAACTGGTATCTTTCGTAGCAAGCGGAGTCTGCATTTGAGTTGAGAAATTATGAAACTTACAGTTCGATTTAAGCCCACATTAGTTTGAAGGGAAAGAGCAAAAAGGGTCTTAAATTCTTACACTGTGACTTTGCCTGCGAAAGTAGCCATTTTCATACACCAGTTGAGAAACTTGCTTCTGTAATCTGTCATTTTCTTCCATTAATAGCTTGTTCATTGCCGTCAGCTTCCTATTCACAGACTGAAGCCTTGACGCCTCTTTCCTCTGTTTCTCCCTGCATCTATATTTAACCAAAAATTGGAAAGAAAAAAACATAAATTAGCTAATGGTATGGCTATAGATTTAGTTGAAACTTGAAAAAAGAAATGCTTTTGATGTTTGTTGAAAAATGGTTTTTGGGATTTGAAGCTGTGTTAGGACATGCATTTTAGTAAAACCAAAAACTTGGAACTTAGAAAAAAATATTGAAGACAAATTTTCAAAAAACTGACCAAATATCATGAAGGAGCTTGTCATTCACACATTATTAAGTAGGAACAGAAAAAAGAGAGAAGAAAATGAAAAGGGGAACCACAAGAATAGAACATTTTTATGCAGATAACTTCAAATGCAATTTTAAACAGTAAGTGAATAAGATTTGTGCAAGAAGTGAACCCAAGATTGAATTTTTTTGTAACAAAAGCTAGCTTTGAAGTGCAATTTTGCATAGCAGTAAGATTTAACAAGAGAATAGAAGACATTTATAGTACCTTCGATTCTGGAACCAAACTTTGATTTGCTTAGGTTCAATGTTAGAGAGGATAGGACATTCTCTGATAAGCTGCTGACGGCGCATTGAACTTGGTTTAGGACAATCATGATAAAGCCTCTCAAGAGCTTCAACCTGCTCAGGTGTATACCGGACATACTTTCCGTTATCCAACACCGACTTACCATCCTTGCAGGAAGCCATTTGTCTTAAATCTTACAAACTGAAATGCTTTGCCCTTTATGAAAGAAAACAAACAAGCTCTGTTACTCTGCTTCTTCTTCACTTTTGTCTTCACAACAATTCAACTTTTTTTAGCATTATTCTTATTGGGAGCTCTGAACAAAATGAGAATGTCTTGAAGTGACCTTTTCTTGGTAATACTAAAAGAGAAAACCAATTTACCAAACTGAAACGGCACTAGACAACTTGTATCTTTCGATTTCAGAGCTTCCAATAAACTACTAAAAATACACACTTATCTTTCACCATTACCAAAAAAAGAAAACAGAAGAATCCAAGTATTCCTCAAGAACCCAAAAACATTATCTTTAACAGCGTGCCATACATTTCCTTTGAATCTTGAAACAAGATAAAAAGTGTGAAAAACACTAAAAGATCCAAGCTTTAGACTTCAGAAGATAAAAACAAAAGAAACCTAGAAACAGATCTTCTTCATGTACCCAAAAATTGAGGCATCTTTAAGTGTTTCAGCAAAAAGTAAACCAGCCCAAGAACCCCCTACAAAACTTTCAAAGACTACGGAGGAAGATCTTGTAGGCATGATGAGATATTATCAGAATACGGATCTTGGACTGGTTAACAATGAATGAAATTGAGTTGAAAGGGGTGTAAATGCAAGAGAGAAAAAAAAATATAAACCCCGGATTTGAGAGCGACCCTATTTGGATTTGGGAAAGTGGGTATCTTCACAAGTGAGTAGCCATTGTATATCAATGGTCCCTCTGTCAACTTCTTTCGGCTTTAGGTACAGTGGGGGGGGGGGGTAAGGAGTAGGGAGTGGGGGAGGATATTCTCACTTCTTTTTACTACTCTTTTCAGGCCAATCACCTATACTACACTACTGCTACTAATACTACTCTGCTGACCTCTGTTCGCCGCACCAGATTTAGAATACTTTTGATTAAGACATTTTATGACCACTATGCCCTTCATGATTATTTTTTTTAAAACAAATTGTTTATATTGTTTTTATTTTAAGTTATTCTAGGTTGTTGAACTTTTACTCACTCCATTAAAATGTCTTACGTTTCATTTTGCTTATATGTAATACTTTATCCGTTTAAAAAAGAATGACCTACTTTTTTTTTAGTCTGTTTCAAAAAAAGTGATCCTTTTCATTTTTGGCAACACTTTAATTTCAATTCTCAACGTGATATATTAAAGGCCACAAGATTAAAGGGCATTTTGGTACATTTGAGATTTGACATAACTTTAATTTAGAATTACAAGATTAAAAGTCTTCTTTCTTTTCTTAAATTTTGTTTCAAGTCAAACTACGTTATTCTTTTTTAAACGGAGAAAGTAAGTTTTAAAATTTCATCATTCTATCCGGCGAGTTTAAGATCACTATGTTTAAAAGAGACTACACAAAATTTAAAGGTCTTTCTTTCATTTTTTAAAAATTTGTATTTAGTTAAACCAAGACGTTTTAAATTGTGACAAAGAAATATATATTTTTAACTTATGCAAATTAGATTAATGAGATTGATGGTTCAATTTATCGAAAGTAGTTTTTCTACTCTCAAGTTGTGATAAAATTTGTGTACAGACATCACCTTTCAAACCCTATTTGTGGAAATACAAAGAACATGTTGTCGTTGTTATACACCAATAATGTTTAAGCTTTTATGGTAAGATATTTTTTTTTTTAATGTCAATACACGTGAAGTTTTTCTCAACATATGGTAAGTTTCGTCTTGAAATAGCTAATGATGTCTATGTCAGAGTAGTTCACGTCTTTGACATGTAGTTTTTCTCCTGATCTTGCATGAACGTAGGATGTTTCGTGTGTCGTATCTCCCTTTATCAGACGTTTTTGTCTATCATCATTTATACGTGTTTTTATTGAGTTTTTTTTATCGTGATCTATTTAAAATTATTATTATGACATTGAATTATTCGAGCATTCTTTAAGTTTCATATTTAAAAATTACTTACAAAAAATTCTACATACTTTACTGTTCACAAGCCTTATTTGTCAAAGAAAAAAATATCGTTACAGTAAAATCACATTAAATTTAGCATTTTATTTCAAATAGGAAGAGACCTCTCACTGTCTCATGTTAATTAAAGATATCGAGTTTAAATTTTTAAAAAGAACATTAGCCTAGTATTTTTCATTTTAATGAATCTTACGTGATATAAATATAAAGGAAAGGAAATGTGAAAATATATAATTATAAAAAAAATAAAAAATAAAGGAGGGGTAAAAGAGGAAAATGTGAATAAGATATGGAAAGGAAAGAAAAGAAAAGGAGAGGCATGGGAAGTATGCGTGGGGCAGAGAGGACAAAATGATGAGAATTTTTGCATGCGCCTCGATACTCTCATTCTCTCTTTATTTCTTTCTATTTGTTGCTACGCATAGCCACTACTTTACGTATACCCTTTTATTTTTTTCGATAAATTATTATACACTTCTGCCTTGTACTTGGTACAAAACCAACTTGTCTACTCAAGTGCTCCTATGTTACAAAGTTTTATTTCCATAGTTTCAAAAAGAATAATCTAATTTAATTTAGATCGGAGTTTAATAAATGAATTTTTTAAAAAAAAATTATGATTCTAAATTTAAGTTATATTAAATGTATCAAAATATTCTTTAATTTTGTGATTTTAAACATGTCACGTGAAAAATTAAATTAAAGTATTGCCAAAAAAAAATAGGTCATTTTTTTTTAAACAGACTAAAAAGAAAACTAGATCATTCTTTTTGAAACATATGAAACAATTTGGTATTGAATTAAAAAAATAATTTTTTTAATTTTTATAATTTTAAATTAAGGATATGCCAATCTTATGATTATAAATTAATTATGTGAGAAATTAAAAATTATAAAAAGAGGTACACACTTTACTAAAAGAAGAAAAAAATAAAACAAATGAATCAAAACAAAAAAATAATAATAATAATATATGAATTTAGCAATGCTGGCTTATACAGGATCGGAAGTAGAGTTGAGAGAATATAAAACTCTGGTTCCGTACAAAATAAATAGAAGAAAATGTCATTTTCAAGTATTTTTCATGTGTATAAATGACAGATTTATCTAATGAATTCGCTATTTGAATTTAAGGAAAAGTCACACCATCATTGTAATTTTTTTCTTGTTTTCTTGAAATATAAATGTTTTTAATAAGTACTATTTTTTTGGTTTCCGTATTTAGTTATTCTTTGTCTCGACATTTATAAATTGAAGACTCATTATCCACACGTACAACACACTAAAATCCATAATTTAATTATTAAAAAAAAATCATTTAAAGAAGAATTATTATGGTTATTACATACGTAAATCACTTGATCAAATTATAATAAATATTACTATTTCTTTTTTCAATATACCGCCTCATTATTTGGATCCCAAATGGACATGCAAGTTACGACATAAAAGTGACAGAAGTAAGATTGACATGGACAAGAATCATGTCACTCACTAAACAACACATATGTATGACAAATTATTATTATTAGATAGAGACCAGTTGGTGGATCCGACTTGTACCTCCTCCTAACATGATGCATAAATTTCTGATTATTTATCTTCATTAATTAATCCTATCTTATATCTTTACTAGACAGGTGGTGTCCAACAGTAATAACTGATGTAATGGTTATAGATACGTGAAATGAATGTAAAGGAACAAAGATAAAGGAAAATGAAGCTATATATAGTGAAAGAATTTTAGTATATAAACTAATGAAAAATGTGAAAGTGAGGTTAGGCTATTTGAGAGAAAAGAGGTCTGTGTTAATTAACTCCCATCTTCCTTTGTGTGTATTTGTTTCTCTGCTTAGATGATAGCCCTTCGTGTCCAAAATTTTGAATGAAAAGAGAAGAGATCACCACCAGCATTTTCCTGTGGATCGATTTAACGTCAAGTGTCATTCAAAAATAGCAAAGAAAAAGCAAAAACTCTCTTATTGTATGCAACCTTATTCTGCATTTTTGTTTCCACGGCTCAAACTTTTGACCTCCTGATCACATAGCAATAGCAATAGCAATAACTTTACCTGTTATTCCAAGACTTCTGTAATGTAGTAGAAAGTATAATTTACAGATGGCTTACCCATGGCCTTTAGAAACCGGGAATTTAAATCAAATTTCATGCTATCAAGTCTTTGTTTTCTACTTTTTGTTCAGAAAGTTGACCACATAATTAAGTAAGTTAATTATGGTGAAATACCTGTTTGAACTCTACAGCCAGCCAAATAATCTTTTAAACACATAGAAAAATAAAAATTCATAAGATAATCTCATAATGGTGTTAATTAAGCACACAAATCAAAGATTAAGAGGCTAGTAAATCTATTGAAATAAAAAGTACCAGCAGTTTTCCACAATCCCCAATTGATAATTCTTCCATCCATAGCCACATTAGCAGGAATATAATGCTGCCCAAATAGATGATCACTACTACTACTGCTACTACAACAACATCTATAGGAGAAAGAAAAAGTAAGCGAGAACTTGTATCTTCTTAAAATATAACAATAACTACAACAATCAAACAAAGCAGTGGCGGAGCCAGAAATTCCATAAAAGGTGTCCAGTAATAGCACAATAAATTTGAACGCTTCCTCATTCCAAGGAGGTGAAACCACTGGACTATAATAGTTTGTTATGTTAAAGGTGTCCAAAATATGTTATTTAATCATTTCGTGTATCATTTAACCCGCCGAAGGGTGTCCAGTTGGACACCCTTAACTACCATGTGGCTAGGGCACTGAATCAAAGTATAAGAAATGTCGTCAAATAGTAACAAAAAATCAAATAACAAGAAACTAACTAAGTAGTATTATGATTACTGGTACGAAAGAATAAGTGAAACAACATTCAACTACCTAACTAACCTTTTATCGATCCTAATTCGATATGCTTGGTTAGGTGAAAGTATGTCATGTCCTATTGAATGAGGAAGTATGAAATGGAAGCAAAAGGAAAGACGATAAGTACATTACCTCAGCTGAAACTGCTACAACAGTGATCACAGTTCAGAGAGTCTTTAACAGTACTGGTCTCAATTGGGAGATAGATTTATCAGTACTTTTTGTTGCTCTGTCTTGTTAACTTTAATGATCTTTTGAATTAACAATGGTGGAGTTGCTAATGTTCTTTTGTTTGATGTCAAACAGAGGCAATAAATAAATGATAAGATACTCTCAGTGAGAGATCAAGTTTGTGTTGCAACAGTTGTTTTTACTTCTTTTGACAAAATCTAAAAGGGATTTCAAGAAATGCAACACTAAAA